AGCAGTCCTTATCACATCCAAATAACAATGAAGGAAATGAGTTAAAGGTCACAGTCAATAAGTGGCAGAATCTGGATTCAAACTTAGATCCTAGAGAAACTGCATTCTAGGGGAAAACAGGACTCATGATTTCCTAACACAAAAATTAAAGAGTCTTATATGTTTCTGGGGGAGACCACGATGTGCTGTCATCCAGCTATGCTCTGTACCTTAGATTACTTTCAATATAGGCTCAGTTTTTAAAGCACTGAAGATTTAACCAACAGTAAAATGTACTAAGAAGTTATGAAATCTTTGGGTGTTCACAAAGCGGCTTCCCATATAACTATATCATTTAAATTTTTCAACAATACTCTGAAGTGCATATTATATTACCCATTTTATAAAGAAACCAAGGCTCCTGACAAGGCACTGAGACTTCTCCCAAGAGGACAGCAAATTGCTGTCAGAGCTCAGACTTGTCTTCTGGCTCATGCAGTGGTCTGCTCACCACAGCCCAGCTGTGTAACGTGTAGCATTCTTTGTTCCATCCAGGGCTACAATTCAAACCCTGTTGCCTCTTCAGACAATGTACTAAAGCAAACAGGGAATCACAAAATGAATGTGATTTCAGATGATGTCAGTGTAATCCTCAAAGAGAAGACCAGGGAGAACATTGGATTGTGTAAAAATTAAAGATGTATGTTTTCAGATTTTTTTTCATTTGGTCCCTTACTTGTGGTTGAATATTCATTTATGATATGGTTGACATTCATTTATGATATGGTGGGAGAGTCTTGGATAGTGTGTGCACACTGATGGTAGGAGAGAGAGGTGAAAATATAAGGGCAGAGAGAAGGATTCATGGCCAGTAACTACCTGGCCATTCTAAATGAACCAAAGGTGAGACAGCTCAAAGCAAAAGACAAAGAACTTATCTGAGACAATCAGGCTTTCAGAGATTCCAGGCAAGATTCCAAAGCTGAGAGCTAAACAAAAGTGGAACAGAGGAGAGATATAACAAATATGAGAGGTCAAGCAGAAGGTACACAGATCGGGTGGGAGGAATTGATTGGTAATACTGAGTGTGGACTCTGGGATCTCTTTCATGAGCAGAATTCCTCAGACCTAGCTGGAGCAGGGCCTTACCATGGTAGGCACAGGCAACTGACTCCCCCACATCTAAGTCCCTCTCTTTGTGCAGTGACTGCCTCCCTGAGTTTCAGACTTTGGGGCTAGAAATCAGCATACCTGAGTTCTAGACTGAACCCCACCTTTGACAATCTACATGACATCCAAAAGCTTACACTCCTAGCTTTTTCATCAAAAACAAGAAAAATGGTGCCAAATTCGTAGAATATTAAGGTAATATTAAATTATAAAAGTCAAACGAATGTATTCTGGCCTTGATTATAATGAGGACCAAGTCAGATAAGTTCACACAGTTCTCTAGGATAGTGGTAGCAATATACACACATTTACTATGTTACTGGCACTTAATGTTGGTTAGATATTTAGAATTCTCTTACAACAACCTATGGGGTGGGTACTATTATTTTCCTCACTTTGTAGAGGAAATCGAAGCACAGAGATGTTATGTAACTTGCCCAAGGTCATGCAGCAAGTGGCAGACTTGAGGTACAAGAGCAGGAAGACTGGCCTCCAAGCCTGTTCTTAAATACTATGAGACAGTTCCACCTGCTAAAGGAAAAAGGAAGCCAACAACCCAAGTTTCCAGAGCATAGTAAACAGAGMATTCTTTAGACATAGTTAAAAGTGAATAAAATCAAAATGGAAAATCTTGATTTATAACTCAGATTAATTAGGGAGGGCAACAAACCATTCTACAGATGCCAAAACCAAAAAATAAAAAATAAGGATAAAATAAATTTCACAAAAGAATTTAAAAGAAAAAATATCATTTGCTAGCAAGATTGCTAATGTGCTGAAAGATTCAATTCACAAGAAAAAGCTAATACTTAGCCTTTTCAGAGGTCAATAGTTAATTGGTTTGGTGCCCTTCATGACAAAAATGAAGCTAAAATCTTAAAGGAGATGAAATGCCAGTATAAAAAATTGCTATGGGAATGAGCTGTGCCTCTCTATACCCACATTTGTTCTACATTTGCTTTCATAATACAAATACTTGCAAAGTACTTGTACCCCAGACATTATGCTGGAATCCTCCTCTCCTGTGATGTGGGTCATGCAGCCTGTTAGAGATAAGCAGTTCAGCCAACAGCCTGCACCCATTTCCAGACATATGGGTAAGACCATTTCGCCCATCCATTCCAACAGTCTCAAATCATGGTGGTGACATGAGTTATCCAAAGTAAGACCAGCAGAAGAACCATCCAGCTGAGCCCTAGCCAATTAGTTGACCCATAGGATTGCAAACAAAATATTTGTTGTTGTAATCCCTTAAGTTTGGGGGTGGATTATTATGTAGCAAAAGCCCATATATAAGGTATTTCATGGGGAAGCAACAGAAAAATGGAACCTAATAATTGTTTGAGAACCTGGGGCATTTTCCCAATTAGATAAGAGAGTTAGAGGGCTGAAAATATGGAGTCAGAAATGTTAGACTAAGAGGATGGCATATGATGTTGCCTGCACTTACCTGTCTTTCATTCTGTGACTTTTGGATCAAGCAGATGGGGAACCTCATCTTCATGAAACTCTGGTCCAACAGACCAGAGAAGAAAAAAGGAAAGAAGTCATGCTGCATCCTGAGAGAGCCAACCCTTGGCTTCTGTATCTACTGATAATAAAGTGCACCACAATAGCACAATGACATACCTAGTCATGTTTATAGCTTCGTGGCATCTTCTTCTACAGCCCCTCCCAGCCATTCTATTACTCTCTCAGCATCATGCTACATGATGTGGAAAGTGATACATGGAGTAGGTAAAGGGCCCAACCAAACGTAAAAGATAACCTCTCAATGCTGGGGWTCCAAGAGGCTCACCAATCTCTGGTGTCTACAATACTAAGAATAAAACCATCATTCAATTCAACTTAATTCCTTAAAAAATAAGAACAGAGGTCACAGAGAATGACTTGTCCAAGGCCACACAGCTAAATATGATTACACTGACCCATGACCCCAAGTCTGTGGACTCTGCTTTTCACCAGTGACATGAGCCACAGGAAATGAGTCTTGGGACCCAGGGGATGAACCATATCATACAAATTCTAGTCTAATAATCTTTCTTTCTCTCCTTGACTGATTTGAGAATATCATCCATATGATCTCCTATGACCACTAAGGAAGCCATAGGACACACTAGCTATAAATGTTTTATAAGCTGTAGTAAGTTTTATAAGCTGTAATAAGTTTTCAAACAATGACTAGGAAACCTGGTTGACCAGAGGGTAGAAGAGGGAAACCCCCCACCAGATACGTCATTGTGACCCAGACTGAATTTACTTAGAGGCCTTCCACTTCTCTATTAGAGTGGCCATTAATAATGGCCACGAGATGCATACTTGCTAAGCTATGAATGTTTGTGTCTCCCCAAATTGGAATGTTGAAATACTAACCTCCAGCTTTCAGACTATGAGAAATAAACGCTCATTGTTCTACTCAACAGGATTCTGTCACAGCAGCAAGGGCAAATGGAGACAATACAAAATGAAGAAAATATTAACTTATGGCTTGAAGAATAGTCAATGGCTAATAAATGCTTTGCAAAATATCTTTAAATACTGACATAAGCATACAAGTCAAACTTAACAGGTATATCTGCCTTTATTTTACAATCTARTAGGAAATGCCCTGGTTTCTTTTCTGTTTCTACCTTATTACATGAATGTGAACAAGTGATTTAACTACTCCAGGTTTCAAATGTTCTCTCAGTTAAACAAGGCAATTGAACTTCAACTCTGGAGCCACAGAGAACAGAAAGAACTCTGACTACAACCACAATCTGAGATGGAATCTAGGGCCTAGCATCTTGTTAACTGTCTGACAAGGGTRGGGGTGGAGGTCTATACTGCACCTCTCTCCATTTCTAGATAAATGGAAAAACTGCACCCTCCTCACAGGGCTTTTGTAAGAATGAAAAAAAAAAAAACTATACTTAAAGGACGTAGCATAGAGCCTGATGCCTGGGAGTGTTCACTAATGAAAAGTTAGTGGTAATGACTCATTCGTTCATCCCACAAATATTTATGGAACTTGTACTCTATGACAGGCAGTATTCTATGTGTGAAGGATRGAGAGAACTCCCTGCCTTGTGGGGTTGGCATTCTAGTGCATGATAATCCATAACTCTAACAACAGAGGAGTTATGTGGCTTGTGTCTCAGAAAAGTTTCCCCGGATTCTGTTCTCACTGCAGAATCCAGTGCGGGTAGTCCCCTGCGAGTCTGTCTGTAATGGGCACCTACTCAGGGGAAGCCTGACCCAATGGTGCTCCTAGGCCCCTATCACAAGCCAGTGAGGTACACACCTGGGAGCGCAGAGCCAGGCCTGACTGTCATAACTCTCTTCCACCTCAGCTCTTGCTCCTCTCCTTTTTCTTACCAGAACTGTTACTCCTGCCTGCACCAGAGCCTTCCAGAAACCCAGAAGGCCAAGTTTGCTTAGCGGCATTACCTCCCACTTCCCACCAGAGGTCGCTATCCCACACAAGCCCAAGCCAACCCGACCAGCTTCGCCTCCTCCGCAGCAGTGACATTATTTTCTTTCTCTATTTTTATCTATTAAAAAGATTTCTTCGCAGCCATAACTTAGATCTCTACACTAAAATGGAGCAACAGGAAGATATAATGGTGCATTTCATTTATGAATGACCTATAATAAATTACTCTGAAGTGTCCCGGGTGCCAGAAGACAGAACGCTGTGTCTGCCCATGGACTGTATTTCACATACTTTAATTTAGCTGACACATAAAACTCATTTGACATTTTGCAGGTATTTGGTGGGGGGGAGGCGGGCAGGAGGGGACCACTGTGGGGCTGGGCGGGGAGTGGGGGGGGCGGCAAGGGGTGGGGGCGACAGGCAGAGGAAAGGATATTTGGTTCTTGTTGAGGGTTAAGGTGTGGAGCTGGGGTAACCCTGGCAACACCAGGTCGTCCCCCAGCAGATTGTTGTCCAAGATGAGTTCCTCCAGGCTCCTGAATGCGCTCAGTCCTTCCAGTGACCTGCAATGACAAAGGCAACAGGAAAAATGATCCTGCACTAAATCAGGGAGGCCATTATGAGCCGAAATAAATATTTTAACCTTCCCTTTCAGGACTGGGAATAGTTTGGGCTTGGTGCCTGTCAGCAAAGTGAATGACAAGAATTAGTAGTGGGAGCCGGGGTGGGGGCGGCGGGGGAGAAGGGGCCGCTGGCACTCACCGCATCCTTCACGCATTGCCAACATGAAGGATGAGGGTCACTTAGTGAGTAGCCAGGATCCAAAACAAAGGGCTTCAGATACGGCCTGCAGGATAAATTTGTCAATGTCTTGTGCCTTCAGGCACCCAGCCTCGGCTGACCCTAACCTCCATTCCCAAGATAAATAACTCTGTCACAGTTCACCTTCATTCCCTGGACACAAATTTAAGTTGTCATCCATCATTCCTGCCTAGAAATATCATACCCCTCTTACAATAATAAATATAACTTCAAGTATCATTTCTTAGCGGTTCTCCTCTGGACGGTCACAGGGGAAATGGCAAGGAGGGCTTCTTTTCTTTCCTTTCATATCCTTTCACTTTTTTCCCCTCCCTCTGCCTTTTTTCTTCACTAATCACTTAATTTGCTTCTGCCCAGTGTCCCCATGGTTGCCCAAAAGGCAAGGCATCTGTGGAATTACATAATCGCTCCAGCCTGAGAGGGCCTTTTCTTTTTCTTTCATTACTTCTTTTTATTTGTTTTGGGTTTTGTTGGGAGGAAGAGGGTTGAGAGAATTTTCTTTTTTGCTTCAAAAGCTCTTGACCTGAAGTTAGTGTTTTAATTTATGGAACRTGAATTTCTCACTTTATTTTTGAAAAGCAAGGGGGGGAAAAAAATAAGAGTAGACCTAGCAATGGAGATGTTGAGGCAGTAAATAAAAGGCATCTAAAAGGATTAAGGACCCAGCTCAGGGGGGCGAAATCATGTATCAGAAAGGGAAAAACGGCTTTGCTTATACACACAGCTGAAAAGTTAACTCTTCATCTGATGGGCTCTCGTGAGTGCCCATCACAAGACAAAAGGTCAGGGTGGACGGGACACGGGGCAGTTTTGCACAAGCACTTGCTTGGATGTGCACAGGCATTAATTAAAGAAAGCCGCCCAGTACAGAGACTTACGCAGACACAARCTCCCAGCTCGTTCACCTGCCAGACCCAGGATATGTGCTGAGCTTGCACAGGCTGACAGCTGAGCTACGACGTCTATCTGAGGGAAGACTCGCATGGGATCCCTGGCTMCTCTATAAAATGTGACGAATCAGGAAGATGTCGTCCACACTATTTATTCATTTACTGATAGCACCTCCATTACTGTGCTGCATGCTTGCGTGTGCAAATGTGTGTATACAGCATGTGTGAAGTTCAGCACCAGGGCTTTCCTGAAGCATCCAGTTCTCCCTCTTGGTTACCTCTGCCAAGAAGTCTCCAAAGCAGGGAGTCGATACTTGCAAGGTATAAAATGCATTGTAAGTAATTAAATCTGCAGATGCCACTGAGCCCAGAGCTCCTGCAGGCCTGTTTCTACCAGTCCTCAGGGTGGTCCCACTCCCCSCCACCGGAGGCCCAACACCCAGAGCGCGCCTCCTCTGACAGCCAACACTGCCCGCTCAAGGTGGAAGGACAGGGCTGCGCATGTATTGGGCTAAGGGTCTTCAGATTTCATTTCCTGCTCCTCTGTTCCCTTTTTCCTCATGGTTCCAGGAGGCAAAACACTGACACATCTAAGCAGGAAGTTTTAGGGCTTTGCCTCAGTTCCTCCATGTCCTTGCAGTGTGAATCTGAGCACCCTGAGATCAGTTCTGAACTGTGCACTTTGTTCCTTCCAGCGCAGAGGATCATACAGAGGCTAAGGGCACTGACAAGTTACTAGCAAAGGTTGATTCCTTTCTTTTCCTTCCCTCTTTGATGCATTGATTTTCCCCCCAGGATCTGCGCTTGGGGATGTGTTGGGGACACAGGGGGTGGGCAGATGGACAAAACCATAGAGGTGTGTAGGGGACCTTTGGGGTCTTCTGAAGTCCCTCCCTCCACAGGGGTCAATGAGTGATGCTTATTAACCAAAAGTGCTTCTCAGGACCAGGCCCCTGTTTGCCAGGGAGGGGAGTGGGGAGCAGAGCCGCTCTAGTCAGGCAGCCTTATGGGGAGCTAATAAGTCTTTTGTGCACAAACATCAGCTGGGCTCTGGTCAAAGGCAGCATCCAAATGCACATTGTTCCTGAGTTATGTTATGCAAATATTATACTTTTATCATGAGAATCAGCAAATGGTTGGCAACTGGCAAGCAGAAGAAAGCTCCCTTCCAAAAGTGCTTCGGGGGAGGCATAAAACAAAATGACATAGCATGAAGAGGGACAAACAGGACACACTAGCGGGGTGCCTACCCCCACAGAGACAACCTCTGTAGGGAGAGCAGGGTTCTCTGGGGCAGCATTCCTACTGCAGTGAGAGGAGCCAGGAGGATCCATCTCAAATCACCTGTCTCAGAGTCTTTTTGCCATGTAGGGTTATTAGCTGCTCAGTAAAAAGGGAACTATGTGCACGGGGGACTGCTAATTAATAAATCCCTGTTTTCATGTCATGGGATAGCATGCCCTTGGTGATTGAACCAGCTGAATTCAGAGCTGAGGGACTGAGGACAGAGAACACAGCTTTGTGAAGGGGAAGACAGGGAGGAGAGGATTTGTGGGGCTTGCCTGGCATGTGGAGGCCAAATAAGCGTACACCCGGAAGATGGCTTTATTTTTCACTTAAAAAAATATTTTATTGTTTTTGYTGTTTTCCAGAAAGGAGTAAGAGAAATAAATTATTTGCAACAATCTTTGAGTTCATACCCCTATACGCCAGATGTCCACAAACACATATGCTCTGTTAAGTGAAATGACAAGGCAGAAAAGGTTTGAGAGAGCCACACTGGCCTGTGCTGTTTGATGGGACAGCAATAGGCAAAATGAGGACAGGACTGCAATTTCTCTGCTATAACCTTGTATGTGGACAGCAAAATACACCTCCAAATGAGAGCCCTGGTGAATGGGTGACTGTCATCCAGGGTTATTTTCCAGCTTCCCTAGCAGAGGCTGTGATGTCGTAGGTGTGAGGGGACCAGCCAGGTTTTACCCACTCCTCAGGGAAGCCAGCTGGAGACAGCTCTTCCCAGCCTGGTAAGGAGCCGCMAAGAGCAGGCAGGGAGAAGGAGAGCAGGGTCCACCCTGTGGCAGGTGGTTTGCTCTGGAAACTTAATCAGCACCTCCAGAGCTCATCGCCTGCCTCCCGCCTCCTGCTCCACGGGGAGGAGAGCTGCCGTGATCTCACCCACAGGTACCATCTCAGTTTGCAGGGCTCTGCCCAGGCTCCCCCAGGAGCCGCGCTGTGGCTGGGCTGCCGAGAGTCCCAGGGCCTTTTCCAAAGTCACATCAAAAATGACAAAACATCACAATGCATTCRGCTCCAGTGGATTCAAACAGAGAGAACTTTTAAGTTTCCACTGTAATTAACCCTATCCTCGTTAAGATAATTATGATCAAGCTTCCTGTCACAGTTAATATCCCAGCATCATCGCCTGTGGCTCACACTCTGCCCTCATTAGCTTATAAAAACAGCAGCACTAAACAGGCGGCTGCTGCACTGCCGGGTCTAGGCCAGTGGCTGGGAGCCCTTGTAGAAGGGCCTTGGGCGGGTTAGTGCACCCAGCAGAGGAGACTGCTCCCTGGAACCCCTCTGCTCCTGGGTGGGCGAGCTCRGCCTCCTTCATCCTTTCCCAGAAAGTTGGCCATTGATGAGAATAGGGAAGGAGAAAGGCCAGGGCAGAGCAAGCTGACAGCTTGGAGGCAGAGGAAATTTGGATTTGTAGTGCCCCCCCCCCCGCCGCCCCAGAGCCAGCACAAAACCAGCAAGAGAACCATGCCATACASACCACCAAAGGTCACCTCCAGAACCCCCGTTCCACCCTCCTAATATAGCTGGGTGCTAAGAATTCCATCTCTCTCCCCTCCCACCCTGCACCAGCGGTGATACCCGGGYTTGGCAGGAGATAAGTAGCAAGTGGTGGGGACAGTTAACCACAGACCCTGTGAAAGAAACCTCGCTTTGGAACCACATTTGGTCTCCTGTYCAGGGAGGAAAGTCAGATATTCTCAAATGAAGAAAGAAAACAAGATCCTCACTAAAAGCCTCCTCTTCTTCCTCAACTCTACCCATCTGCACATCCACATGGAGAGGTCAGGGAAATTCTAGGGGCCCCAGCCCACATGTCTCATGCCTACCACCCTGGCTAGTCCCCCTGAGCTGCCAGGTCTGGCTGTTGCCAGTTATATTGGAGAGTCCCTAGATGCTGTCTCCTAGCCCCTGACAAAAGGGACTCTGGATGCAACCGTCCACACACCTGGAAAGCTGTCAGGGGCAGCCAGGGCTCTGTGCCCTCACCAATGGACTACTTCTCAGCCAGGAGCCTGTAAGAGTCTAACWGAAAATCAGCCAAGAGAATCCCGAGGGCAGGATGGAGAGCAAGCTCGGGGTGCTGGTCAGAGGCCAGGATGACAATGGTCAGAGGCCTCCCCATCTTCACGTGGGGGAGTGTGTCTGAGAACAAGAAGACTGACTATGGGACAGCCACTGCTGTCTACCAGGGTAGCAATATTTAAAGGCCTCCTCACCATCTGGAAAATGACTACAGCTCTTCGTACCCTTCCTATCATTTGCCCTCAGACCTCTTCACTATCCARCCACTAAGCAATGAATGCCCACCCACCCCAGCATGGGGCCACCATGGACAGGGCTCTCCCCGGCATCCGTTCTGACTGGTCAGTGCAGTGGTTAAGTAGTTCAATCACCTTGAAGAGCAGAAATAGTAATTTGTTCCTGTTTTACTCCTGCCCGACTCCCATACCTGACACACAGCAGGTCCTAGAAAAATGTCTGAAAATTACATTCCCACAGAGGCCATGACCAAAGCTACAAGGACAGGACGAGCYACACAAAGCTAACCA